GGAGGATGATTAATTCCTTCTCCTTCATCCGCCGGCCCCTGGCCAAGATCCGACATCTCCAGGCGGCTTCAGAAGCTGAGCGTAATGGCACATTGTCGTCTGAAACTTTGGTGGCTCGTGACAACTATGACACCATGCGTCGCGAGTGGACCGTCATGTGCAGACACTGGGGCCAACGCGTACGGTCCCTCGAGCGAGCTCGCACCGACAGCGAGAATTTCCTCCGTCAAGGGCATCGTGACGCTGAGTCCCGCCATCAAGCGCGTATTACAGAGCTGACGGATCAGGTCGCTCAACTCAAAGGTCAACTTCGTGACTCTGAAGCCGCTCGCCAGGCAGCGGAGAGGCGCGCTGAGGAGCGTAGTTTGGACGTGAATGCTCTCATCGACTTCCTGATGGGGAAAAGCCGAAGATAAATGTGATGTTCAACTGGATGCGCCTCGCGGCGCTCCTCCATCACTTCGCTGAGGGCACTCCGATGCCGGAGGGCTGGCTCACGAACATCAACGTGGTTGCCCGGGATGACCCGCGTTGTGAGTGTCCTGAATACGTAAAGCCTTCCCCAAGACCCAGCAACGGCGACTCGTCTTCGAGTTCTTTGCGTCCAAGACGTCCAAGTGTCCTCGACCTGTCACCTCCCGCACGCAACAAGAGGGCATCGACGTCTGGGTCGCGGGCTGGTAATTGAAAGCGGAAGGCGTCTACAGCGCGAGATGCGCCAGTATCCAAGCGTCCGTCGCTGAGTCCGGCTCGAGACTTGAGACATCGACTCGACGGCCCGCTCCGTCCTCGGGGCTATTCGCCCCGGGATAAGCTGGTATACTCCCCCCAGAACGTTCCCAATGCTCGGAGTCTGGCAGAGGCGGGTCGTGTTCTCCCAGCCGGGATGCTTTGCACCGACGTCTGAGAGGATGTTCAACATCTTTTGTGGTCCGGGATGAACTTCAGGAGTGCCATGGGGTGGGTTTCTGAAGGCCAGGGCATTCACCACCTTGTGCCTCGGAAGGTTGTCTGTCGCGTGTTGGCTCAGGTAATTCACGCAGATCAGCTAGATGAGACTCCCTGGTCCGGTTTTGTCCCTGATGGATTTTACACCAGGGCAGAGGGAACCCTGCGTCTGCGCCACGCCAAGCGAGAATCAACGTCCCCTTGGCATCCTCTGGGTCGGTGTTACATCAAGGTCCAGAGACGCAAACAGTCGACGCGGGAGACTGAAGCTATACAAGCCAAACTCCCTGAGTCTTCGGATTCGGACGATGAGGTTTAGGATCCATCTTACGAGTTATCACAGGAGGAGCTGGATATGGCTGCGCGAGCTGAGGCCGCTGCTGACAACGACGAGTCGAGTGAAGATTCCAACAACACTGAGAAGGAGTCCAAGCCTGCGACTACACACGTGAGTCCTGGCAACTTTCAAGAGTCCAAGACTAGGAAGACAAACGACAAGGGTAGTGACTCAAAGAGCCACGATGCATCCGCGAAACCCAAGTCTCGTGTCATCACCAGCTCCAAGCCTCGACTCATTCCAAAATACCTACACGCGAGCGTAAGATGCCTGTTCTCTCTCTCGCCACATTCCTTCGTCGGGCTAAGGTGGAAATTCCATCCGATGGCCCTCAACGCACTCGGTCCAAGTTGGCCAAGTTGAGTTCCGACGACCTTCACAGCAGCCACTTAGACATGGTAGAAGCTGCATGTCGGGAGACTCACGTCTCTTATCGTATTTTCGGGATTCTGGTGAAGTTCGATCCCTATCAACAGTCTCAGGGGTATCCTGACTTCGAGCCGCACAAGCCTGACATCCACGTTCTGAAGGAGCGCTGCGATCGGAGGCATACCAAGTTCTGGTTTACGTTCCTGAACCCGTCTACGGTCATCCTGCTCGAGATGAGGATAGCGAGATCATCAGAGCACCCTGGTCTGTGATGTTTCATTGTCGCGTCACCGTGCTTTATTTTCACGAAGTGCGTGATTTGAACTCTTGGGACGCTCGATGGAATCAAGGATTACGTGGACTTCATGCGTATCAACGCCAAGACCTGGTGGGTCATCCTCCACTGGTTGACCATTTCCTTCTTGGGTCGGGACGCTGCTGACGAAGATGCTTCTCGCGACTTGTACGAGGAGCGTCGCAGAGATGTCAAGCGGCTTCGGGCAAGGTACGAGGCTCTACTCAAGCGGTTATTTGCGATCCCTGGGTTTCCGAAGACACTACTTTACGAGCCTGGTCTGTGGACGCTTCCTGTGTGTGCGTGTCACTGGATTCTTAAGGATCCTGCGCATTCGCCCCTTATTCGCCGTGGAGTTGCTGGCTACGCTGCTCAGCTTGATGACTTGGACGTGGAAGATCCTATTCGCACGCAATGGGCTGCTCCACACACCGACAATGACATTCTGGCCACGGTCCCTGCATTCATGCATCCACTTCTTATGCAACCTGAGCACCGGGCTCGAAACGTGATTCCATTGTCCGCAGCGTCTCAAGCGTGAACTCCTTTCGTCAGCTGTTATTCTTCTCGTACCCTGAATGTCGGAGTTACCCTCCTTTCTCTCAGGCTCAGGCGGTAACTCGTTAATACCAATTGTTTCGTCACTTTTCGTTCATGTATCTTGACTTCTTCACCACTTTAGGGGCGGCCTTCGTCGTGATACTCACTCCTACAATGATTGTTCTCTGAGATCCTCACTGGATCC